GATAGCTTCCTTCTAGCAACTGATATTGATGTAGTCACAGCAATGTTGAATTCTGCCTGGATATACTCGCGACAAAGCAACGCGGACGTAGATCGTGCTCGCAACCGAACTCAAAAAGTGCGGCCCAAATACAATAAGACAAAGGAGTTCCATCTTCCTATGCGCATCAATGAAACCATACTGCAGTGGAGAAACACAGTCCTCGGTGAAGTCAACACGGAATCTAACAGCGATTTTAAGCGTAGATCCGTCTAAAACGCTTACTAAGCTACTATAGCACCGGAGCACAAGTAATGTGACGTCCACTAGAGCACTAGTGCTACTGCATAAAACAGTGGTTACTGAGAAAAAAAGCCACGCGAGATCATAAACATGCATTTTTGCTACACTTTCACCCTATCATTAAGAAGCAGCACATTTCCTTTCGCCTAGAAACATGCCGTTGTTATAGCAAGACACGAAAGTGAGTGTCGCCAGAACATTGATAACTACCGTCAAATCAGCCACAAGCCCATTGCGTCACGAGTGATGGAGAGGAGAGTAAAATGACAAAGTTTGGAATTTCTGTTGCCACGAAGCTTAGTTAACAAGTCCCGACTTGGCTTTTAACCAGCTGTACTGCCAACTCAAGTTTCTAGATCTTGTAATTCAAGAAATAGACTCAGGCCATGCACTTCATTGACATGAATAAGGCTTTCGACCGAGTCCCGCATACGGGTCTATTGACTCAACTACACTGCTTCCGGTATATAGCATTAGCTGCTGTCATGGTTCTCATCCTACAAGACAGGGCGTAAACAGTTGGCCCGACTCTATAGAGTGGAATCACAATACAGGCCCATTATTAGTGGTGTTTTTCAGGGAGTGTTCGAAGCCTACTACCATTCCTATTGTATTTTAAGGAGATATTTGATTGCTTCACCCACGGAAGGCCATTCCTATTTGTGGATGATATTAAAATTTTCTCTCTTGATACTAAGGAAACAGGAATTGACGTTACCAATATTCAGATCGACCAATGGAAAATACAATTCTCGCCAGCTAAGTGCAACGCCATTTCCTATCGTTGTAGTCTTCCGCCCAATGCACTGAGAATAAACGGATAACCAATAATCAATGGACCTGCAGTATTTAACCTAGGAGCACACTACTTTAGTTCACTAAATTTCACCGAACACGCGGAATAAAATATAGCCAAGGCCAGATAAGTAATCGGCTACATCCGTAAGTCGATGGTTTTTAGGGAATCCAGACTTAATTTATAGAATTGCTGCGCTCGACATATGCTAGAATGCTATCCCATGGTGCTCAGCAACTTGCAGAAAAGTGAGAGAAAAGCAACTGAGAGACCGCAAAACGTTCATTTATTAAGCGCCTACTGGAATCATCTACACCTAACTATCGTGGTCGATGCAAACAGCTCCAGCTAGATCCATTGTGACTCCGCAGGCTCAAGTTTAACCTAGTATTTTTCTTCCAGATACTACACAGCTCAAATGATAATACGGAGGTTTTTGTTTGGTAGAATACGGATGAGCACTACCCATTATGGACTAGACCCTATGTATCTTGCCGAAAACTCGTACGAGAATACGCTGCAGTTTCACCCTATATATATATATATGCGTTTGCAATATTCCGCACTACTTTACCTTAAACCGTGGCAATGCATATAACCTTGTAACACGCTGTTATCATCTGCAGTCCAGATCCGATAACAGCAGGTTAGACGAAGGTGACATCAGCGCCACCGTTAGTAGCTCTGTTGCGTGGTAGTTTAGGATTGACTGCGAGGCGCGGTGCCCCTGTTATAAACTTTGCCGGTTGGAATACCCTCATTGCAATAGTGGGCTACTCTATCCACCCTCACCTACTTCCTTCGCCTTCGCATCCCCCACACTCTCTTCGACTACTGACTAAGCATCTCGCCCAGTGAAAATCATTTAGTCCGCCTCGATGATGTCCATCCCTACTAATGTCCCACGTACTTCAGTCCGTCTACGTTACACCGTCTATCTCTTCTAGCTTTGTAAATGGTAGTCCGTACAACCTAGTCTTTGTATTAAGCACTATTCATTTAAAATATTTCATATAATAATGCATGTGCATATCAAGTAAATCAACGAAGTTTCACACGTTAGGTTGAGTATTCAAACCAACTTCTTCATGAACCCTATTCATTTGCGCACGGATGCTTTTGTTTGCTTCTTCTCTTCACCCTCTTTATTGATATCAGCAAAGTATGGCCGGTAGAACACTCCTGATCTTCCTCAATTACCGGCCGTCCTTCGCGGAAGAACGAATCTCAAATTTTCCCAAAGCGCACGGAACATTCTTTTGATACTTCATAGAAGACTGGTAATCTGTTAGTACCACTTACCTATAGGAAATATTACAATTTTGGAGTTGTTTTCCATGTGGGCTGAACAATTGGGTTCGATCGGGAAACATTATTACTAACACATACTAATTGACGATACCTTGACTGCTGCCATACACACCTCGCCAGTGGTCAACACCATCAATCGAAAAATGCCCAATCTACATTATAAGGATTATCATGCACTTTTTTTTACCATGGAGTGCGATCGGTGAATTCTACCAAGTCCTTACTATCATCCGGTGTTACCTTGGCGTAACGCAGTGCCACCTCGCTAGTAGGCTAACTTTCAAGATGACTCCTCACTATGGGAAGCACACCGAAGAACCTAAACTTACGCAAAACAGTCTTATCAATGGATTTCGGAATAAGAATCTATCGAATAAATAAGTTCCGTTCATCTACTGGAACGTCATAAGAACCTAACAGACATGATCGTAATTCGGGGAACATGACGATCACGAATAGCAAAATATTCCTCTGACTGTAAATCGGTGGCACATATTCGGAAATAACCTGCAGTCTCCGAGTGAACTATTCCTTCATCTGTAAAATCATTGCGTTCCACTGCTTGGACTCAACTATCTAGTTGGGAATTATTCTATCTCCTTTACCATCCGTCAAATATCGGACCGCTCACCGCATATCTAGTTGCATTTGTCCATCTATTCGATTAGTTCTGATCAGCTTATGATCCATGTAAACTGCTGCACATCCATGAGCATGCTTCTAATGACGTGTCTCGCATAGTCGGGAAGAAATATTTATTTATTTGAATCTGTCGTTATGAGTAATCTACCGCGTGTGGCTTGTTGATGCTGCGGCCAGTCGAGCAAATACACAAGAGCTAAGTGATGACAAAGGACCAAATCGAACCAAATACGTTAGCTTTCTGAGTAAAAGAGACCGGCCACGAAATCGGTTGGTAAATCATCGTGAAGGCGAGAGCAACAAACCAGTGGTGCTCCTATCCATAAACGTTCGTCTGTTCAATCAGCAGATCGGCAATAGGTTCGGAATATTCCCTACGGCCTATTCTATTATTTTGGCTCTCTTCTTCGCCCAGTGGTACCGGTGAAGGACACATGGACCCATCGCGTCTGGATGCTGCAGTTAGAATGGGCAAACTGAAACGAACCATTGAACGATACAGCATAGCGATGGTTAGAGATAAATCCAGATGCAAACCTTGCCTGTGGATTAATTCAACAAGCTAGAAGATCAATCAGGTGTTGAGTGGAGAAGATTGGATGCAGGGTAGGCGTATGGGCGGTCGAAGTATGAACACATTACGCCAGTAGGTGAGAAAGATGGATGCATGTACTGGTGCGCTTCTCACGTGCTTAGAAGTCCAGTAAAACCACAGTAAGTTGACCACACAAGAGAAAAGACCAAAATGGTCAACATACGTAGGCAGTTCGATTCTAGAAGTGATCAAATTTAGAAGTATTACTGCGATTTTGCGGACAACTACATCTGCTTACGAAACTGGAAGATGTCAGTTACTCCCGCCTTCTTCTACACAATGAGAAAATGTGCTTCAGTGGTCCCAGTGCAGCAAGTTGTTGGCTTAACTCCGAATTACCGCTCCTGGTAAAGCATGTTGATTGTCGTTACAAGTTCACGCCAACTGAAGCCCATCTGCTTGTTCCGTTAATATCATTATGGAAATCAACTAAGCCGTAAGAAACAACATTCCAGTTTCCTCTAGTCACTAGCCAGACTAGTTCTAGGAATCACAGATAAGTCCGAAGTATCCCAGCAGCCCTATGAGTCCCAACCTCAGCAAGCCGAACACAAGCAGCGGGACACCAGTTATGCAGAATCGGGAGCACTAGCTCACTTGGAGACAGATAGGTACTCTCTGGTATGCACATCCAGATGATTGTGACAACTTGAACAATGGACCGATAGGAGGTGGCCATCCTGGAGTGCTATTGTCAAATGGTTCAGGAAATATTATAGCGAGATTAAAAAAGTCAAGGAGTGGAGGCTTTAAGTCCCCATTGACAAGCAATGATTCTTATATGACTAGTAGCCCCAACTTAGGAACAATGGGTACTGGTGAAAATGTTGCAAGATCCGAAGAGATAAAGCAAAAACCGATAGAGTTTGTGTGTTGATGGAAGAAATGTAATAGGTGGACGTGAAAAACGAACCAGATGATCAGATGGAAATCAACCTAACAGATTCAATCATTGGACACACGAAGCATGGATGTGTCTAGGTGGCTCCGTTAATAGGCTGGCAGATGGTTATGCTACTCAGATTTTTGCGTTGTTTGTTTAGGTGGGTCAAAGGAGGGACCGTCTCGGTCCGGAAACGTCCCAATTTGTTGAAAGCGGATTTACAATACACATGGAAGCAATCTGTGAGTGAAACATGCTCTTGTGCTCGCTGACTTCTCTTTATTGAACAAAACGCCTGTCCCTAAAAAACCAAATTCAGGGGCGCTATTCACCGAGCAAACAGAGCTCATCCCGCCTTGTGAGACACAACGTGGATAAAGGTCTGCGAGATTTAGGAGATTGAATGCAAAGATATTGGGAAACAAATCAACTAACAAAGAGACAACACAGTTGTGGGTAGATCAATTGAAACAAGGCAATGTATCGCTCACGTGTCCAGCTTGCGCTAAACGAATACCAGTGCCCAAACCAGAGTAGATCTGACCCATATGAACCACACCGGAGATTCCGACGACCTCTAACAGTCCATCGTAGTGAGTGGGTTTGGCAAACACGTCATCCCTTTCCATACCCCATGGGTTCGCTCCACCGCCCCAAGAGAGGATATTCAACACGATTAAACCTTCGATCGGAGGCAACATTAAGACATTGCCGTCCGCAACCACTACGATTTGCTTATGCAAGTCCTTGCAAGCGGTCCGATTGATCATCTTACGCAGACCAATTTTAAAGTAAACGCCTTTATTATGAATGCTGCGAGAAAGGAGGAAATTGGGAAATAGGTAAAAAGGTTGCGGATAACATCTGACAATGAAAAGCAACTGCGGATGCGAAAACAGTGAAGAATATATTCTTCTTGAGTCGCGAGTCGAACAGATACAAGAGCGAAAGTGATGAAGAAGTTGTGTGCTTCCATCTCTAACGGAATTTATTCTGAGATAGGTCTATGGCTGAAAGCAGAGTTCATGTGAAAAGCTTCTAAACGCAATTGAGTTATTCTTTAGCCGGATTCGAATGCGGTAGAGTAGAAGGAGTGCGCATCATTCGTTAGTAGAGAAAGTAAGAAACGACCAACAGACGTATCTCTTGGTGTGTGCAACCCGCACCACAGAGGACGGAAACAAACCACCACCATATCAAGTGGACTGTCTGGGTGTGATAATTTAGGACGTTGAAAATGGTAACCTGTAGCGAAAAAATCGTATTTTTACGGCTTCAGTTAGATGTGCGATTCAGGGTAGAACACGCAAAACAGCGGGATGTCAGATTAGATGAACAAAATGCAGTAGACCAAAAAATACATAGCTATGAAACCACAAATGATATTCATTAAGCAGAAAGGTTGTAGGAAAAATAAAGCAACCTGAGAGTCACCAGTCGATGGTCATAGTTGGTAGTACGGATGTAGCACAGAGAAGAGACAGGAATGCAGTACGAATAGTATGGCGATAGTCTGATTATGATTCACAAATGTAAAGGTTACAATATACATCGAGCATGGTCACCCGTCGCATAAGGCAAGGGTCTTTTAAAGGATGGGTAAGACGTTAATAAAGGGAAGTCTAAATTTGACTGAGTGAGGAGAGCCTTAACCGCAGGGTGTGTATGAGATAGGGCCCTGATTTCCAGCAGCGAGCTCGAAATGACGTGCAACAACGAGATGGAAGATACACAGTCAAAAAACTACTGCGAGTTCAATGAAGAGAGTCCTACAGATGCGGATTCGTGTCATGGGTCTTGTAACGCTGCTAGAACAATCAGAAACATACAGAAAAGAACCGAATAACAGATTAAGCTTAAGAGATTAATGCGTAATTGAGCCACGGTTCCATTATACTGAAACCCAGTTGCAATCAATTGGGCAAGGAAATTGCAGATAGCGGATGTAACAAAGCCGCTATGCGTAGCAGCGCAACCCACCATCTGCGGTGAGACATGCTCCTTTCTTAATTGTGCACGGATAGTCTATATAAAGGCGTCTATCTGCAAACTGACAGCTGTTATCCCATAAACCAGAAGAGCCGAAATACTAGTATTGATTGGACGAACGACCGGAAGTCCCTATCCGAATAACGTCCCATCTGACACACTGGACAGGCGCAGTTGATGAGATGAACGGAAATGCGTGCATCACGTAACGTTGTTTGAAAGGACTTGCGTGGACCAAAAGCACCAAGATATTATTCAATGAAAATGGCGCCATCTGATTGATGATTGTGTGCATCAGATGTACAGACGTAACAACGGAGCATAAATAGTGAATCACCGATTCCCAGCGAGACATGAAAAGCAAAAATTACCATAGAATTTGAAGTACCGACAAACTTTAGACTTAGCCTTATATACTAGAAGGCGTAGACATATCTGTAGGAAGTCAAACGAGACGCGCGTATTGAATTGCTACCCTGCGCTCCACCATGATAATATAGTACAGGCAATAACAAACTGATCAAGGGCTTCCAATTCTCAGAATGGCTTCTGCTGTGAATCCTGCGGGATGCGCAATATCCACATAGTCAAAAGGGTGCTGTGGTCAAAACAGTTGAGTATGTGACAGAGGTGTCAGGTGAATGGAGACTAGGCGATCTATCATATAAACCAGGGATTACTAGCCCTGCAAGGTGCTGGAGCGTTCAGCAATGCACATAACTAACGGAACACTGAGAGTACGGAAATAAAACAGGCTCTAACTGCCTTAAACCTACTTTCGACTAACATTTATGGCGGTCTCTGGGAGTGGTGACGTAAGGGTCAAAGCTGAACGGTTTGCATAATTTCTGGAGGAATGAAACAATGTTTGGTGCCAGTCACGTGACACGAGCAAGGCAATGATAATAGACTAGCATACCGGCTATTAAACTTGGAGGGATTTTCTGATCGCGCGTTGTGGAAATCGAGGGACAGATCTGCGTCGATCCCGATTCCGAAGTAATTGTTCATAATGATCATTATTGAATTATCCTCGTTTGCAGTTGCCGCGTTGTTTTGGCTCTCTAACGCTAACTTCGCTTCATCTTTGAAATCTTCATCAGGGCGCACGACAAACGTCCACCTGTAGTACAGTATTCAACAAATGAGCATCCGCAATGATAAGAGACTTCGTTTCTGATAAAAGGAATCTGCGAACGTGCAACAGCAAGTTAGAGTATCGACCACAAGAAAACGGAATCACAGCTTGGTGCCGATTATCAACTGCGTTAGAATATTACCGTCGAGAAGATCCTTGTTAGGTAAATAAGTAGTTCGTCGGAACCTTAGAAACTGCATGAAACACAAGAAGCGACGCTTGACTGGAATTAGCGAAAGTGAGTGGGGCCAAAAGGACTGTTAAGCGAGTCGGAGGAGGAGTGAGAGGCACCGAAAAGGTAGAAGAGCAGGAAGAATTGGTGTGGTTTTTCAAACCATCAATCACTTATGCGATACGCATGTTCGTTGCCGATATGTTGTACTGACGACTGTCTCCACACAGAGAAGTGGCAATGGCCCAAAAGGTGTTATGACAAAGCGAAAACACCAATAAACTATATGAAAACCTAACCGTTGGATTCGATACGGCACGAGACTGTAGAAACCTGTATGTCATGAATGAAAGAATGGAGAAAACAGAAGTTGCAAGTTTGTGAAGAGGAGCGAACTAGTGAAAAATATACCTCCCTGCATTGTTTGCTATGGAAGATGAAACTACCAGAGAGAGGTAGCCGAGATAAATGTGGTCTACGAAGCAGGAACTTGCTCACCGATCCAACTGAACTTCTTCCGCCGCGACCACATCTTTGAGAATGGCTAGAGGATCGTCGGCAGAGGAATATCCAGACCCCCATCGCAGCACACGAGCCAAATCGTTTCCCGTGCCCAAGGGCAACGGAGCAATCGGAGGTGAGTTGCAAGCCGCATCTTGACCGACAATGTCGAGACACGACAAGGTCCATCCGACGGTGCCGTCCCCTCCGCAACTGAGAATTTTGTAGGAGGTCAAGTGACGAAAACAGTAGAGACCAGGTAGGGGACCCCCATAGTCGAGATTAAACACCTAAATGATATAAATGAAAAAGTAGTATGAAGAAAGTACTATGAAGGGTATCAAATTCCCACCCCATATAACTAAATAAGAGGGCAAAATGGTAGGTGCTGTCAAATATGATGAATCTGAGAAGACTGGTTGTTTCGTCACTTTCATATATCAGCTTGGTGTGTTTAACCGAGACAACAAAGTAGGTAGTAATTAAGGTAGTCGAGCCCCAATGGATGGACGCACAATGAGTAAGGAATTAAAGAACATTCGGCCACAAAAGTGGTGCATGCTATCCAAATTAATTCAATCAATAGATAGCCCCAGGGATATTGAGGAAGTATGAGCTGGTAAAGAATGTGACAGCAAGCATAGAAACGATGTGAACACAGGGGATCGTATACCGTGAATGATACGGAAGAAAGAGCAGCACTTGATTCGAACTAAATAACATGCAAGACCCCCCCCCCAACAACACGTATGAAAATCTAACGATCAAAGATAACTCGAAAGGGAAGACCAGTAGTATGGAGGGTGACAATGTAACGGACTAAACTGAGATCGCTGTAGCCAGCGCCTTTATATGTGGTTCACGTAGCGCAGCGTAGCTGCACAATAAAAAGAGCAACAGTAGATCACATAAGTGTGGACATCGCCTTTGTGGAGGTAACAGAGAACCTGTCTTGACATTACTGTATCTAACACAACCAAGCGATCGCAAAAAAACACAGAGAGCAGAAACGGAGAGAAGGAACCATCGTTACCTACGTCGTCTAGTCATGCATCAATAAGACGGTGTACAAAACGGGCTAGCTTTCACGCCGTTAAGTGAGACAGTAACAGAGGGAAGTATGAGTAAATACGGTGGTCTGAGGTTCAACTTCTCCATGGGCACAGGCGCAGTTTGCGGAGGTGGTATTTGAAACTGGGACAGCACAACATGTCGGCCAACCGAGGCACGTTACACCGCATTCGGCTCCATCGTGCCTGGACCTACTACTAACGAGTTGTGAGCAACGCGTACATGAAATTCAGGTCCTGGCGCCTCTGGCAGCTAGTGACCAGTTGATGGTGTTAGCCAAACTAGCATTTCCGCTGCCCTAATCGCGTCTGCCGGAGCCGTCCTACAAATATTGGAAGACCGACTTCAATGGTCTAAATCGAGCCGCCAGTGAAGTAGACTGGTTGATGCGGTAGGATTCATCTCTTGAAGCCTGTTGGTCTGTTATAAAAGAGGGTGTGCAATCGTTGTGTACTTGTTTCGTACTCCTGAAGTATCAGAAAGCTGGCCAGTGAAGCCACACTGGTTCGACAGAGAGTAGAGTCAACTGGCTCAACGGTGACGCGAATTGTGGAGTAAATTCCTCGTCTCTGACTCTGCCGACGATTATGAGGCGTAGAAAAGACAGCGGAATCTATGCAACAAGGCAAAAGTGTCGGCAGTTCGAAGAGGAGCTTGCAATCTCAGCGAAGACGGCTCACAGGAAGAGTTGTGTTTACGTGAAGCGGCGCCTGAGACCCGCAAGTGACGTAGCTGTGTTAGAGGGCACTAACGGATAGCCTCTGACCAGCAATGAACGTGTGTCCGCATTGGCGGAAGGCTTCGTTTCCGTATATACAAGTTGGCATACGTCTATGCCGTGCTCGACGTGTGCAGCCCCTACCGTACTCGAGGGCCTTGATTGCGGTGTAGATGTCCGCAGTCTACTCGCCAGTCTTGATGGCACAAAACCTGTCGGACCCGATGGACTTCACTCGCTAATTTTGAAGTCCTTATCGACAATCATCTCGCCTGCCGTGACGGATATGTTCAACAGACCGTTGTCCGAAAGTGCATTGCCGAACGACTGGAAATGCTCGGTAGTTAAAACCAATTCCAAAAGGTGGTGACCCACGCAATGTGGACAATTACCGGCCGGTTTGTCTCACCTCTGTTTTGGCGAAGGTGCTCGAGGAGATTGTGAAAAAAGGGTCTTCTCCAGCTGCAGGAGTCGAAAGATCTCCTAACGCCGGCAGAGCACGCTTCATAAAGGACCCTTCGTGCATCAACAACCTGCTGTTGACGTGGCAGAAATGGTTGCAAGCGTTGAATCGGGGGAAGTCAGTGGATGTTATCTATAATGATTTCAGTAAAGATTTCGATAAAGTGAACTATGAGGTCCTGCTACACAAGCTGAGGATGTGTGGTGTTGGTGGCGCACTGCACCAGTGGATTAGTGACTTCCTTATTGGGAGAAAATAGCGGGTTCAGGTGGATGACTACCGAACGGAATGGTACCCGTCCACTAGCGACGTACCCCAAGACACAGTACCGGGGCCCATTTTATTCCTGATCCACATCAACGAAATACCTCAGCTTCTTCGGTCGCCCTGCGTATTATTTGTGGATGGTCTGAAGATTTGGAGGATTCTCCCGGCGACTGTGACATCCTTCAGCAGGACCTCGACCACCTACTCCGGTGGTCTGCAGAAGTTCACCTACCGGTCAACAAGGCTAAGTTCTCGCTTATGAGCCTGGGGAGGGGTAGTAATGGGCGTGCTTACACCCTGACCGGCCAAGCGTTGTATCCCACCAGTTCCGTAAAGGATCCAGGCGTACTCTCACGCTGTGATTTAAAGTCTGTCGACAACCCGAACAGACTGTAGGAAAACGGACTACGTCTGTTCCGGGCACTTAGATGAAGCTTCTGCACTTGGTCTGAAGAGATTTCCACCCGTCTGTTCTCTTCCATAATATGACCGGTGCTTGAGTACGGTTTATCCGCCTATTGCCCGATCACAATAGGTGAGGTGCAGAGACTAGAATGGGTGCAGCATGTAGATACCCGACCCATCCACAGTTCACGGGGTATGCCGTGGGAGGACCGATGTAGGAGACTAGGGTTTTGTACCCTGTCATATCATCGGCTTTGAGTTGATCTCATTATGACGCACCGGATACTGCACCTGGGGCCACTTCCCTATGAGGCTGCTGCTGCACGTTCGCGCACCAAGCAGCACACGCGGACACCGGATTTAAAGCGCAGCGCTCACCCTCTATACTTCGAACATCGAGTGGTGAAATCTTGGAATAAATTGTCAGAGATGCTAGTTGAGGTGGAATCGGTGTCGGAATTTAAGAGATTCCTTGACACCCACTTTGCGGACTACAGGTATAAGGAGCGTATCGCACCTGGATAAGATGTAGTGCAGCTGCAATATGCTGCCACCGCGCAGAAATCAGCGACGATGGAGCAACACCGATTTTTATGTTCTCGCTTTCTGTTCTCAGTATTCAGTTTAGCGGCTTTTGCGAAGACGTCACACATGTATATCGAGTGCGCTGAAGAGTTGTATCACACAAAAATATCCCTAAACAAGTAAGCGAAAGTCATAGTCCAACAGTCGACTGAAAGTGCTGTGGCAGTGACCAAAGATGGCACTCCGCATATTAAGTACGTAGTTACTGGGATGGAGCCTTCCACAACCTCATGCTGAGGTTGATGTTGTATCCACCATACTTTTTCCCCGCAGCTCACAATTAAACTAAATATCTTTAACTTTGATGTGTTCTGCTGTTGGATTTGCTCAATTCTCTTATTCTGCTGCCTATTTCGTGTCTATTTGCGTGCTTATTTGCCTTCAAATTCTGTGTGGGTTGTTTGATATCCGCGGTGTGATTGCGCTTGATGTGGATGTTGACAAGGTGCCTACCTGTCTAGCACTCTCCACCTCAACTACTGTGAATCGTTGCTGGAGTGGCATGGTACACGGTCCTCGTGGCCGTACAAGGCTCAAAGTGATTCCATGCACTCAGTCTGGAGCAGACTACGGTCCAGCTACCGGCTTGTGTACGTCTGGTGCGCATTATTTCCCAGTAAGGCATGAATGCTTCCGCTCTGCTTGTTGACGGAGTAGGAGCCGGCTCCGTTGATGTAATATGGCTCCCATCCACATGCCTCCCGGTCTAATTCCTTCGGGTTTGTACTGGATCTGGGGTGTGTGGATGGAGCTGTGGGTGGTGCAGCGCAAGCTACCCATGGTCCCTCTGTAGACGCAGGCGTCCTATGACTGTCCCCGTGGAGGCCCCAGTGACAGGCAAATCCGGAACCGGATGCCACCAATCATATAGATGAGTTCACCAAGACTTGCGGTAACGAGATCCTGACAGATCATTGATCCGCTGCCGCTTAAGTACTGTCGTGGACTCAGAATCTGGATGCCTCGTGGCGACCGCTGACTGGGGGTAGGGTTACACCCCTAGCCTAACTAAAAGTCAGGACACATCAGCGTGAGTCGACTGACTCATGGTGAAATGCAAGTTGCCGTACGGGAGTACACTTGATCGCAGTCTTTGGCTGACGTGACTGCAGTAGCAATACATCATCCCAACGACACACACACATGGTAATTAGAACAACAAATAAGCTGGTATCGCATCGGTCGTTGCGCAGTGGGGAAAAAATCATTTTATCTGCTGCATACAGCGGGGTGGGTAAGCTGGAGCATACTTTTTTAATCCATCGACACTAGATTCATCTTTCCATCTTTAGTTTCATTCAATAATCTTTCACGTCCCAACCCCAACACCCACTTCAGTCATTGGCTTGCATAATCGTATGCTTTTGCCCAGAAGGTTTAAAATCGGATGATGGAACGCGCGCATATTCATGGACTGGAATACGAATGAGCGTCCAAAGGGACGCACAGCACTGGTCGCCGTGGGATTTGGTCGCCACGGCGCTGACATTGAGACACTCAGTGGGACTCGGCTAACTGATCAAGGCAAGCTACACGAGGGTAATGCTAGTTAAAGGTACTTGTGAGTGACAAACGCCACCACAGCACCACGTAAGCAAAGGATCGGATTTGCACTATCCAATCGCCTAAATGGCCACCTGATAGAAAGGCTAACTTGCATCCGCCCAAGGATCATGATACTTCGCGAAGACTTAGAAAAGTATGCAATTGTTATTGACACGTATGGCCCCACGAGAGATCAGCTTTCACTTGTCATCGTGCGTGATACGGTCAGTGATGAGGAGCGACAGGATACTTCTACTGGTTGTTTTCAACGCTCGCTTTGGGCGTGATGTTGCGGTGTGGACAGAAGTAATCGGGTCGTATGGTATTGGTACAGCTAATGAGAACAGTGACCGGCTGCTCTCAGAGTGCGCCACTCACAGCAAGACGATCACGAACACAATTTGCATTGGGCGCGAGTGATATAGCTACTTGGACGCGCCCTCGGAGTTGTCACACTCACCTGCTCGGCGATGCCATCGTATACCGCCGTGGTAGGCGCAAAATGTGCACAACGCGTGTACTGTGTACTGGCACTAACCACAAATTCGCGCACACCAAATTGTACATACATTTCGTAAATCTGTGTACTGTGAAGAAATCGAAATAGTTGATCAAATCACTTACCTTGGCAGGTGCAACAGCAACGATGGGCGAATAATCAATGAAGTCGGTTCATGTAATGTAAAAGCTAGAACTGGCTTCGTGTATATGCGATATCTAGGGCGTCAAAAATGGGTTTACAAAGGTCTAGAAGACAGTGTTTGCAAAGTCACAGTGGGGGCCGTGCTACTCTATGGAAGTGAGATTTGGCCAATTCAGTCTGAAGACCTGCGGCGCCCTCAAGTCTGATCATCGCTGCCTGTGAAATATTGCTGGTGTCATGTGTCACCAGTGTACCCGCAACGGTGATGTGCGTAAGCGAGTGCTATGCAGTGATAATCGTGCCAGTTCCTTAGAACAACAGATAGCAGTGAATAAATCGCGTTGGCTTGGACATGTACTACGTATGCCCGGTCACCGTTTACCGTAGAGGGCCTTGTTTTGTTTGCTAGATGTAGGGTGGAGTCCCTGTGACTCGCCTTGTGTTTGGCTTGAGATTTTATAGGACATGGCTAGCAGTCGACACCAGTGGCGCGCCTGCCGTCGTTTCCTAATCGGCCTGTTTAAGTGTGCTTGGTGCCGAGTTGTCTGCGGATTAAGGGCTGATTATGACGCGGGACAGTGAAAGAGGCAGACAGGCTGTCTCACTGATGCTGCACAATAGCCAACTGTTTGTAATGATGTGTTGTTGACAAGTTGTAGGCCCCATGACCCTGATTGTTTGTTTAGGACATTTGGGTTTTACGCTCCCCTTCCCAAGTGATTATTCTTCGTTCCGTGGGCCACCATAGTTAAACGGTAGCAATTCATCAGTTCAAGTGGTTGATGTACTACTATTGATGATGATCTGCGTGTTGCTTGCCTGCCGTGAATCGGCGGAAATTTAATGTCCTTTCCCTAGGCACTGTTGTGAAGAGGATAGAGCTGGAGAATGCGATGGCTACCCGCCTTAGCGAACTCGACTCCATCCTCTCAGTCAATCACCTGTGGCACCACATCAAAAAACAGGTGAACGCTGCGGTGCGCACATTTAAAGCGGCCCGATGGGCTTGTCGACAACGGCGTGACTGTTGTCGCATTGGTGTCAGGAAAGAATGCCGCATTTGCTGTACGCGTGCACGATGCTGCCGACTCCGAGAAAGAGTCAGTTTCGCAAACGTCGATGGCGATTGACTTGCGAGCTCCGTCGCATTAAGAATGCATGGTGGACGGAGAAGGTGAGGCAGTTTAAATGCTACACAGAACGCCGCCAACATAAGGAATTTTAAGACTCGTGTAGGCAGCGTATGGACCCAGCTTGCAGCCGCTGAGGAAGCTAGTGGAGAATAATTTGGGTGCTGTCTGCACATTGGCTACGAGCATCATGCAGATATGAGGCAATCGCTTCGCCTGTCTCTTGAACAACCGTTCAGCCTATTGCACGGGTTGCAACAACAAGAGGTGGAAAAAGGACTTGCCGACACACCAACACTCGATTAGACGTAAAGAGTCCTTGCTCAGCTGCGAAACGGCAAGTGTATCGCCGGGATACCACAAGAAGTGCTGAAACACGGCAAACCCGCGTTGGTAGATGTCACGCACCACTTGGTGCAACAAGTGTGATTTGAAGAGGTGTTATCTGAGTTGAAGGATGCCCTTGTGCTACCACAAGCAAGTAATGCGCCAACAAGTATCGTGGCATAAAGTTGCTGAGTTGAGTGGGGTTCTGGTCAATCGCCTCGTCACTCAGGTCGTCGAATCAAACATGGTGGAAGAGCAATGTGTTTTCCGTTCGGGCCGCAGCACCGGTTATGGTATTCGCGGCTCGTCAAGTACAGGAGAAACACAGAAAGCGAAATCAGTTATTGTATTCGCAGTGCATCGACTTCATTAAGGCATTTGATATGGTGAACCTCGAGGCGCAGTGGCTGGTTTTGGGTTTGTTAGTCCTATTGAATGCCTACACAGTGATGGGCGGGTGAAGGTGTAGCTCAGTGGATATATCTCGGATGAATTTGTTGTTGTCTCTGGTGCGAAGCAAAACTGTGTCTTAGCTCATAAAATGTTTAATAGTGTTTAATAGCCGTGACATCTAGTGCTTTCAATGCTTGTGAATACGGTGTTCATTTCGAGCACCGTCACAACAATGCAATTGTTGAACTGAGTAGGGTCGGGGAGGGGTAAGACTGATCATCAAAATCACATGTCGTGACAGCGACTTTCCGGAAGCATCTTTAGCAAGGCAGAAGTGTTGAGGGATAAATGGATACATGGGTCATCTAAGGTAGCGATAAAAAACTGGAATTTCTAAGGTATTCGTCCGTGGAAATCTTAGTATTCGAAGCGTTTTGCTTTTAAGGCACTGAAATCGGACGATGCGTCTATTCCGATCAATTAAATAAGAAATATGACGGGTTACCGTAGTTGGAGAAAGGATGGCATCCAGAGATTATTGAATCGTTGAGTTTCATCACTTTCCTAACTGCGATCAGTTTTCCACGCGGGCACCGAACAGAACGTCCGGCGCTTAGTCGAAGACGAGGAGAGGAGTCGATATGGCCTGGGTATGGACATCTATAAACAATGATGTGACTATCCGGTGTAAGACGGAGTCTTCAGAGAAAACAAGATGACTTGTGTATTTGCTGCACTTAATGGAATGACTGGGGGCCTCATTATCCGCCCAAGTGCTGCAGTTCCCCGCGTGAAATATGTAGGAAGTAAAACAAATGGATCCCATGCTGCCAAATGACAAGCATGTGAATACGCAAGTGTTCAAGCGCCGGTGGGTCAGTATAACATAAAAAGGTGTATAGATAGAAGTTCATCAGTCAGGCAACCATGGCGCGCCTGGAAAAGCATTGTACGGCCATTTCATACATTTAAGAACCGTCAACCGTGTGCATTTCATCTGACTCCTGTGTGGTTCGAATCCGCAACTCCACTGTTGACAATCTGTGGTTGAGACAACTACGTCGCTCACCCTGTCTTCTGCACGACAGTAATGTGCAAGTCAGTGGGTAGTCAGCGCCGCTATAGCACATCTAATAACTAATTCACTACGGTTGTTGCCGTCCCACGTAGCTCACTGGTCTCAACCACAGACGAAAACAGTCAAGTTGCGGGTTCGACCTCTATAAGGGGCAGATGGAATGCGCACTGCTGACGACTCTTGAAAGGACGAAACGGCCGTACAGTGCTTTTTCGGGCGTGTGATGGCTGTCTGACTGAGTCGATATGTGATGAATTTCCACCTATACCATTCAACTCCCCTACTACTCCCTTGTAAAAGAATCGTTTATCGGAGTTTGAAGTCGCGAGGTTCAGGGTGTTATAAGGACAAAGGTAAGCTCGTAAGTACTTCACTCCATGACGAGGACTTCGACGCAAGCTTCACAGTTCATACAGTGAATAAAAAATTTATAACTAAGAGTACCTGGAGAGGATTGAGTAGATGACGAAACGACACAATTAGGTCCATGCCCTGACAACCGCCTGATTTGAGATTCACGAAGACCAGCAAGGGTTGCACGCCTTTGGGGATCAATTTCGGGTGAATCGTGGGTAACAGCAGCGCAATCAGTGGTTTATCCATCAACATTGAATCCTGTGACGGACAAAGCAAACAGAAGAACGATCAATTCAATTACTGTGAGTACCTAGGGGGACAAGGCAGATGAAAATGTGGTGTATTCCAAAAGTGAGCAAGGGCGCGATTTCACAAGTCGGGGGAGGAAGTGAACCGAACAACGCTAACACAGAATGTCGACAAGAGACAAATCGACAGTAGCCAACCAGTTTATCAAACATTGGCGATGAAGTGAGCAGCGTGTCATGAAATGTGATTTTTACTTCGACAGATCGATAACTCAGTGACTGCCATAAGAAGTAAAACCAAGATTTCAGAGATACATGCATAATGAACACAAAAACAAGTAACTTTATGAAAAAGTTTTCAATCTAACCGAATTTTTATCCATTAGGAAAAACTGTTTATATTGTTGACAAAATGTCATACGTTTCGTGATGCTGCACACGACTTTCACCGGTCTGACATCGAAAATATATCTATTTGACCCGAGATATCTGACTAATTGACGATTTAGCTGACGAATAAGAGGAGGAATATACCGCACCCAAGTGGGGTGTCAAAAGTGATATACCAGTAGGTTCCAATGGCACATATTCCTCTCAAATTCCTATCACTACGTGCCTCTTAACCAGACTACACATTTGTCGCTACCAAGAGTTGTTGATCGGTGGAAGTGCACTTCCGATTATGGAATACATTCCTTGGAGATTCAAAGCTATTCCACCAATAATGATTTACCAACATGGAACTCCTTTTGACTGATAAGTACAGGAATAGTAATTAAAAACATATCTGGAATTGGTTACGGTAAACACGCAATGCACTATCCATGCCACGGCACTACTTGTGCCTAACTGGTTAGGTCTCTTCAGGTGTCTCGTGGAAAGCGAGTATAAAGGTTATCTAGCTAGTTACATGAAGTATAGCAGGTGACAAAAGTGCAACCAAACCAAACAATTGGAAATGAACAGTGGAGAGCCACCTATGGTGTAGCACATAGGTGAAGATGCACAACATGGCATAGAAAATTGTAAAATAAATGTTAATAATCGAGATGTGTGGCCAACAAGTGGACCAGAGGGTGATACATGGGCTGAATATATACTTGAAGTGGTCAAGGAGCCGAGAACACGAAATACTGCGGGATGCTCGAAGGGAGAGACCAAACAGAAAGGGTGGTATATATGGACCAATCGCCACTGTCCACGCAGTAGCGATTTGTCGGGAGCCCAAAAGCCTAAAGGTAACGAGCTTCCCTTGTAATCTGACGGCGTGAGTTCAAGCCTGCGTAGGGGCAGAGTGACCTTCGTAGCACCCTTAGCCCACGTGCAACCGGTAGTGGTTGCGCAGCAGCGAAGCGCCACTATGCAGTACCGGCGTATTGCTGATGCCTTGCCAAAAGCAACAAAGATTCAGAGTAAAAAGGAACTTGACATAATATACAAAGTAACAGTACATGCATAATCCTATGGATTATGCAGATAAAAACAAGCACTTGCGTTGAAGCGGAATCATTATGACACAGGCAACGGTGGTAATACTTTCTGAAAGTGCCAATGACTCGCGACAAAGCAGAGGCAACCAAATATTCCGCTTCAGAACAGATACCGGGAATAAAGCTAACGGATAAAGAAGGATAGAGTACGACAATCAAAGTTAGTTGCGGTTGTTTCTCGGTGCATGTAACATAACTTCTCCGAAGTGATATCTGATGGAATCAACAGTCAGCTATTAGTGTCATCAACGAGGCGCACAGTGTATTGGGTATCTTCTAGAAGAAGCGAAGCATAGGGAATCACCCCGTTCTAAGCTATTTAAGGTGAATTAAGCTGAAAAAAGAGTACTCGAGTTGCGGAGCATAATTCCGTCTGAACGAAGTTGTGTCTTCATGTAGCTTGTCACCTGTAACAATTAAAAGTGGGCTGGTGCACTAACGAAGCAACTAAATTCGAATGTAGAAGGGACTTCAATATCAGAGGATGTAGTAAAAAATTTGCAACATGCAAAGTTAGTATCCAATTTTTATCCAACCCGATGTCGAATTCGAACCGAGATGAGGAAGCAGACCTTCTCCACACTTGAGCATGGCCATGCATGTAAGTAGTCCCCTAGAAACTACAATCGGGATTCCAATGCTCTTCTCGGCAGAACAACTTCATAATCTGATTTGTAAAGCTTGGCATCTTAAAGTCCCCGGGATCTATTCGGGATAGGTGTACACGTTATTGTAGGAAAGGTTATACCGCTGCTGCCATAACTTCATCTTATTCGTTTCCGGCCTCCGCGTGATCTAAGTGAGTACTAGTATCCATTAGACATATAAACAGTTGTGTAGTCCACCAATAATCGCGATGGTGCCATAAAGAAAATCATCCACTTAAGTATGTTTCAGGTCTTTTCGCTAGATAGAAAAAAACTGCTCCGTTTAGTTTGTTAAATACAAGATGTAAGCAACCGATTGGCCAGAACAATATGATGTTGAGTGCTCAAGGCCAAAGAGTCGCTGAGAGAAGATCAACGATAGAAGTACTTAGTGGATCGTCCAAATGTTGACAACCAATCCACGTAGCTGCTGCGCCGGAGCATCATCGGGATTAACTGATGCAGCATTGCGCCAACGGTCTCAGCAAATAACCTGGAATCGATTGAATTCGTTAGCGACAACGTTCGAGGGCACACCGATTACAATCTAACGCACCAAGGTTAGGAGAAACGGGGGCGTAGCAAAATAAAAAGATTCAGTTCAAAGTCTAATCAATGAATAGTTGCAAAAGCAGCGAAAGATACGCTAGTATTACGGAGTCGCAACCGTTCGCGGTTTCAGGACTGAGCATTAATCCGAAAGCTATCTCATATAAGACTTATGGAAAGGAGAAACAACTCTATATCGTATAGAAAGGGACGTGGAAGAAACACAGTCAAGTCAGCTTAGATACTTCAAGCCGGATTGACCATTCCATTATTAGTTGCGACGAAGTGGACAACTGATTACGGGTTCACACAGCTAAACCGGGGCAAAAAGCTCGCAATGAACCCAGGTACGACTTTCACCAGAAAAGAGGCATTATATATATATATATATATATATATATATATATATATATATATGAAGCATCCATTTCTCGATAAAAGCAGCAAAAACGTTAGCATCATAGCACCGTACGATCAATATCGGGACAAATTTCTCTGCATACTGCAGATTGGGTGCAACAAGATGTACATAGCATAAGTCTGGAATAGCTGGGATTGCAAATTCCCCAAAGGGCATACAAGCAGTCAACAACAGCAGTACACCAGCCATGTGAACTGATGCATCGCTGCCATACAATCATGAGGACCTATGAAATAAAGAATAAGAAGAGGGAAAGGGGAACTTATCTGAGAACCTTAATGCCCTAAGTAAACATTCAGGGTCAAGGCGCCTACACCTTGTGAAGACAACATACCATCATAAACAGCTGGCTATCCTGTAAAGATAAGGCGGCATTAGCTTGACAGCTTCCTTGCGGCTTTCACTGCCCGCGTCATGATCAGCCATTACCCCGCAGATAACTCAGCACCAAACACACTTCAAACAGACAGTCCGAGCAAGAGACGGCAGCAGTCGCGCCACTGGTGTCGACTGCGAACCATGTCCTGTAAAGTCTCGAGCCAAGCACAAGGCGAGTCACGTGGACTCCAACCCGGAAGGCTAGACGGACCAACGTCACCGGGTTTGGTCGTCAGTGACTTCATTTCCCGCTGCCAAGTCAACTTCTGTCCACCTCGAGCTTTGTGCCACTCTACATCTGGCAGACTAAACAAGGTCCTCCTAGGTAAGCGGTGACCAGGCATAAGTACGTGTCCAAGCAACGCTAGCTTTTGTTCTAGGTAGCTAGCATGATTATCACTACCTAGTACTCGCCTACGCACATCATTGTTGCGGATACGCTGGTGACACGTCCACCGGGTCACAATATTGTTAAACAGACATTTGTGGCTTTTTATGGAAGAACGCATGAGCGACGAAAACGCACCACGTCCTAGAACACTACCGCCGAACCATTTTCTAGAACGGGAGAAATCCGAAATACCCGTCTGGGACCCCGAACAGTTTGTCCGGTGAGTCGACAGGAGCACACTTTAGACACAATTATATCGAAGTCACCAATCCTAAGCGATGTCCAAGTCAACGCGCAGTCCGATGGTCGGTTGGTTGAAGGGAAGTGGTCACCTTGCAGCCTTATCCGCCCAGATACACGGTTCATATTCTCGGTTCTAGCAGTGGACAAATCGACTATTAGAGTAGCGGTTCGCGCGCAACACACAGCGGGCACTAAAAAGAGTGGAGCCGACCGACAAGCTGCGTCATCATACAAGAAAGTAAAGTATTCAATGAAAGACAACAGATATCATAATGAATGAGCGCTGAGTCTATATCATGGTGATGCCAATAGTAGAAACCGTAGTGTCGGATAAGGGGGAGAAAGGTGGTTTGCAACATGAGTTAACGCGTGAAATTACCTTTAGTAGATCGTAAGCCAACGCGGCCTTTTCACTGGACCGATAAGATAGCACGAGACAACCACTTTCGTAATAGATTGCATCGATCGCATCCCAACGACATTCTTCTCCCAACTTGTCTAGCAGGATGCATTCGTACAGCCGCTGCGAGAGGTTCTCCTTTAAGTTTCCCACGAAAAGTGACACTACGCCGTCCGAGTCGGTTTCCACGAAACGCAATACAAGGCGTGTGAGTTGATATGTACGTACCGATTCCTGCCGCAGCTGGCTGAGATAGGCAGCGACCGGTTCATCGTCAGCTAGGCGACATTCACTGACGCCTCCATCCATGCAGATACTGGCCAAGTAAAAGTCGCTCGAGGCTAGATGCTGTCGAGACAAGGGGAAATAGGAAAAGGGTGATGATGTTAGCTTAAAAAGCCAACGAAAAGATCGATGGATGAAAGTGAAATGCGAACGGTGAGGTCACAGAAGGTTAAACAAAAGTGCAATCCTCACAAACAGGAAGTCATGGTGTTCCATAAAGGCACGATAAAGTCAATTAGTCAGTAAGTGGAGTGATTCTTAGAGAAGCTAATTCGGTAGATTTACGAGCCAAATCACTCGAAGGTTAGATGTGAGTAGTGGGCAATACGAGGCACATTCGGAAAGCGCAAACGGAAACAGGGAAACGTGCAGAATTAGAGTAACAGGATGTTCAGACCAAAATAGAAAATGCTAGCAAATGAGATGGTGGACGTTTTGTGAGCACAGGAGTAGTTTCCGAGATCATTTGGAAAGGAAGCATGAATAAAAAGTTGAATATAAATGGCTATTAAAATGGCGACTTTAGAACCCAAGTACATAGGGAAAGAACCGGAAATAAGACGAAAGTAAGTGGCCAGAGAAGTAAAAAGGGAGTACCAGTGAGCATTCTTAGAGCGAACTTACACCACATCCAAACTTCTCCAATGCAAGACTAACCACTTCAGCGCTGGATGTGGTTGACTGTATGGAGACTTCTTCATAATGCGACGCAGTGGGCGGTAAAACGTCACTGGAAAAGAAACAGAGTGGATGTCAAGGCTTAATACATTGCATGACCATTTCCTAGTCGATCACATTGTACTACACAATGGTTAGCCAGCGTTCCTCGCTCTGTATGCCATAGGGGTCGTCATTCAGCTACTACCCGCAGTGTATACACAGAATACATTCGGCTTGATAAGGGCGGGTTCGTCGAACAATATGCAGTACCTAATTACAGGTTAGTATAAAAGTGGAGTCGCGAAGGCCACTCCATTACATGACCACTAGGAGATACCGGGCATTGAATGAATAAGTTGAAGTGTAGACAAAACTTGAAATTCACAATCCACTTTATCGCGAACAAATCCATACGAATTCGTTCCACAAAATGTCTGTGGTGTAAGAAATACGTAAATGTTAACAAGGGGCGCAAAATCGGGGAGGGATAGCACGGACTATTAAGTGGTAGGATACTATGAGTGCAGCTTCGGTAATGAAGTGGATGAATTCGAACTGATCTTATAGAGATCTGGCCAAGACTGGCCAACCTCGGAAATCGAGTCAAGAATGTGCTTTATGCATCGCACGCGTTAGACAGCAGATATAGGACAGTGTAAAGACAAGAAAGTCAAACGAAGTTAAAAGGTTGACTGTGGCACTTTCGAAATTTCGTTGTTGTTGACTCATTGCGAAGAGTCGTGAATATGCGAATGTATCAGACGGTTAATTGCTGTGGTTAATCCGGTCAACTGTGGCCCATGCATCCACGGTGAGAACAATCCAGTTACCGCAGTCACAGTAGTGATAAAAGGAAAAAATTGGAGGAGACAAACAAAAAGTAATTAAGAAGCATAAAGATAGTCTGATGTGACTGCAAAAGATAGCAGCGGATTCAGTACAAAAGTACTATCAGCTTCGAAACTCTATCATGTCCTTAACGGTCGCTAACTACTGATGTGACTCTGTTCCACTGGCCCTATTCAGAGAGGCGGAGAGTACGCAACCAAACAAGTTTCACGGTCAGGGTCTTTACATCATCCATACATGTCACCAGCTGGTTACCTTGAGGTTGCATCAAACCCGACACAAATTAGGCAAACATCACGTGCTGAGGTAGAAAGTTAACAAGTGTTCAAAGAATACCACTAAAACGTAAAGAATGCTCAGTTTTGACACCAGGGTTGCGACTCAAAACCGAAATATGTACTCCGGGATTTCGCAACCGGCCGTAGGAACAGATAGATATTGGTCTTTATATGATCCCGTGGAAAAGACGGTGATTTACGTGGAGTGGAGTTAGCATTCAAAAAGAGCATGACGGCCGGTTTGCAACATGGAAGGGTAAAACACTTCGAGAAAATAAAATCGGTGCGTTAGCCTTACCTTAAATCACCAGCGTGAACAGGCACAACAATTTGACAGTTCTTGGGTTCTTTGGCACGTAAAACGATTGATGGTTGTTTAACATCGAATCGAAGTTGGCTTCGGAAGTTCTCGTTCACGTTCAGCTGGTGCTCCCGGCCATCTAGAAAGCAAGAGACAATGGAGGGGGTGTCTGAAGCTCGCGAATGCTGGTCGCGCGGCGTTATAATGCACAAAAGTCAGTGCTTTCCAATACTGATGAAGATAAAGGGGTTTTTGATTGCGTGAATAGCAGATAATCGGAACTGAGGAAATGTCTCAACTAATGTGACATTCCGGAACACAAATACCCGTCGCACAGATTCAGTACTCTTTAACAAAGTAGCCCGATAGCCTGATATATACATACAGAGGCAATCCGTTGGTCAAGAAAAAAAGTAAAATTAATCTTCCAGTTGGAGGTAATTTGACGGTCAAAGTGGAGAACAAATAAATGGCGATAGTTTTTAGAACACCCGAAAGGGAAATCAAGAACTATAGGTAAGAGGCAATTGATAAAACAAAGCACACACACACACACACATTTGACGCACTTGGGCGGCAGGTGGAACAAAACGACAACTAAGTAGTTTCATTCACATGAAGTAATTATCATGAGCCTCAGACGAAGATAACTAGGAGATAACTCGGCGATAAAGTACACAAGGTGATGAAATCTGAAGTGATTAGGCATGGGTTGAGATGGCGGAAATAAAAAGCGATATAAAGCGGTTTAAGACAGAAAATAAATACCTACGATAGTGACCGATATTCGGGTGCATGAGGTGAGTCATAGACAATGCTAACCTGATTGCAAGGTGGCAACGCGTCATTCACAAGGACGAAAATAGGTGCGAGAAAATAACCACAAGCTGAACGACGGGAGCGAGTCAAACATGTATTACAAATGTCGAGGGGAGCTATCGTAATGGAATCGGACAGTAGCATGAAGCAGCGTGATGGCATGTATCCATGATTCAGTGATCTACAGTGAGTAAAAATTACCCAGAGCAGTGTTTTATAGGTATTTTGCTAAAAATTGAGAAGGATCATTCAATAAATAAGTACTAACAGGAAACATGGAGAAAGTAGAACCCGAATGGAAAAGCCAACCATTAGGTTAAAGGGGTTGTAAGTGATTAAGAAAGTGCGAAATTAAAGTGGGTATCGGAAGACGAGGGAGGGCATCCAGTACAAACACCCACGCAGCAAAAAGTGAATAACATCATAACCAACAATATCCAGTTCGATAGTGGATGTTTGTGAGTGGTGTAAAGTTCGTAGAAAGTAGAAGTCACGATTAAAATTCACACGTAATAATGTGCCTAGAAGGGAAATCGAACCCCGGCCAAACGAATTTCCGGTCCGCTGCTCTACCACTGAGCTACCGAGTCTCAAAGAATACCGCAACAGGACGTGTAAGACATTCGAGGTCACCTGAACACAGAAGCCAAAGTGTCAATCAATAATCACGGCAGACGGACGCACACGTCTACCGTCCAGCCATGCACATCATTTGGGTTCACTGATCCATTCGTTAGGAGGTGCCCTACTAACACCGCACCGTTTGAAGTCCACTGTCATAGATTTCAGCCTGAGGTTAACCTGGAGAGGCGTGACAGGAACTCGGCAACGATCGGGCCATCTTCTGGGTCGACAATCGGGTGAAGGAGAGATTGATGGATTGATAGGTTTATCTTGCTGAGTATCATCATCATCAGCATACACGTTAGCCAGAGGTGGGGAACACCTCAGCTACTGTGCAGCAATACATAGAAAAAAGGAGAGAAAAAAATGCAGCTGGTGCAAGCTGGCTGAGCTACCGGTAACGGATGGGCATCGTTCCGGTAAGCTACCAGCCGGCTGCTATGCAACAAAAAAAATTACTATGCAAAATTATATAAGGCTAAATAATGAGATCGTGGTTGGAGGGGGAGGCTAAGAGGGATGGGGTGGGACAAAGAAACTCACAGCACGAACGCCACTGAGGTCGGCTCCTAGCCATATCAGCAAGTGTGTCCAACCAAACGTGTTCATCGTCTTTCGGACCCTAACCAGGGAGCCGAGACGTTCCAACCGAGGCCAGCTCAGAAGTGAGGGCCTTCATTCCTCTCGACCAAGTCATCGCTTGGCCACCCCTCCTCTTCTTCCATCCACACCCCCGGCGCACAAACAACGCACGTCGCGGGAGTCGGTGGGCTGGCATGCGTAACACGTGGCCGAGCCATCGGAGCCTGATGCGTGAAATAACGGTGCTGAGCGGTTCAGTTCCTTTTCCTGTGCCGTAAACAAGGCGTCGAACACGCTCGTTGCTCACGCGGTGTTCCCACCAGATGTGAGCTAAATTACGAAGGCACCGATGGTCGAACGTAACTAGCCTCTTCAGGTCCGTTGCTTTAAGGGCCAGGTTTCACAACCGTACAGTAGGGTCGAACGTACCGCTGCATTGTACACTCTACCCTTCAGGGCAAGAGTGATGTCGCGCCGCCGCCATAAGTGTCGAAGGTTAGCAAAAGCGCCCCGAGCTTTTGCTATACGGTTCGTGATCTCATCTTCAATCCCACGGGCGCTGATACAACTTCCCAGGTAGTTGAATTTTTGAACGACTTCTAGCTGATCCCCACCAAGGGTCAGCGTAGGAGGCGGCCCAGGCCAATCTTGGAGGAACGCTTTGCACTTCGAGGGTGCAAAGCAAAGCCCGAAGTGACGGACAGCCAGTGCTAATCTGTCCAGTGCCGCTTGGCACGTTTGTGAGCTGTCACAGATTAGGGCAATATCGTCAGCATACTCTAAGTCAAGAAGTCGTTCTCCTGGGAGTAGCTCCACACCTTCTAAGTCGTGTCCTGTAAACGCGATTTCCATGACTTCGTCAACAGCGAAGTTGAAGAGGAAAGGTGACAGCGGGCATACTTGTCTCACACCGCTGGAGATATTAAAGGGCGACGACAACTTGCCGTAAGCCCTCACTCTGCCCGAGCTACGCGCATATAATGCTCGGATAATATTCACATATTTCTCAGGTACATCTTTCCTGAGTAGACAGTCCCAAAGTGCATGTCTATCCACCGAATCGAATGCACCTTTGATATCGAGGAACACGACAACGGTGGGCCGCCAATATATGTGACGGTGCTCCAACAGCTGACGCAAGGTGAAGATGTGGTCAATGCAGCCACGACCTCGACGAAACCCAGCTTGCTCTTCACGAATATGGCTTTCACGAGTGCCAGTCAGTCTGTGAAGGATGACAGAGGCAAGCAATTTGGAGGCAATGGAGATCAGACTGATTCCTCTATGGCTGCCGCATTCCGATCGTGAGCCTCCCTTGAAAATTGGGACTATGACGGAGCGGCTCCAGTCGGTTGGGACAGTTTCCTGCTCCCACAGTTTGACTAGTAACTCGTGTAAATCATCCACAAGAGCAGGTCCCCCGAATTTGAAGAAGGCTGGAGGAAGATCATCTGGTTCCGCGGCTTTATTTAACTTCAACAGTTCGATCTCACGTTCGACTTCTGAGCGAGAGGGTGGATCCAAAGGGACAGCCCATGGAGCGGGGCGATCAGTGGCCGGCGAGAAATCTAACAATTCCGACCGATTAAATTGCCTTTTAAAGTGTTCAGCCCAACGCTCTAAGCGTTTCGATAAGTTGTGGATAGGCTGTCCACTCTCGTCACGTATAGTTTCACTAACAC